ATTATCAACAGTACATAAGCAGTTGACCTGGAGAAACAAAAACCATATTGCTTCTCTAAAAAAAAGTCCCGGTGGTGAGAAATGATGAACCAATTTGGTATTGATTAGGACATCCTGGAGTTTCCTAAAAAGAGATAGAAGGCTAATAGGCTGATAGCTGAAAGGGTTGGATGATTCTTAGAAACCAAAACAACAGATGATAACTTTCAGCAGGCGAGAAATTGGGAGGCATCAAGGCATTTATTATACAGTTTAGAGAGAACAAGAGCCAATTTGGGAGCACACTTCTTAATGACTATTACAGGGATACCATCAGGTCCAGATGCTTTGTGGGGATCTAGATTAGAGATGATAGCAGAAACCATAGAATGGATTATACACATATCACTCAACAGAGATTCAGTTTTAAGTGTGATGTCAGGCAGGGATACTCTGGATGAGTCAAAAGTAGTGTTTAAGAAGAATTTACAGGCAAAGCATTCAGTTAAACTGTTATGTGATATATGTCCTCATGTATGGCAGTGAGTTCTAGTCAATCTCCTTAAAGATGAAGGAGAAACTTAAAGTTACAGAAACAGGGTTCTACAGAAGGATACTATGGACTGAACATGTGAGGAATAATGAAATTTTAGAGAAAATGGAAACAAAAAAGAAACTTATAGTTATTAGGAAGAGATGGTTAAAATTTCTAGGGCACATAATGAAAAAAAGAAGGTTTGGAAAATCTGATACTCACAAGAAAATTGAAGGCAAGAGAGGCAGAAGAAAACAACACATAATATTCTTAGTGAGATTGAGTAAATAGATGGTGGAACAGGGTTTAGGAGAAATAACAAAAAGATAAAACATTTATTAAGAGCTACAAAGGACAGGATGTTCTGGAGAGGCATGATTGCCTATACCCTGAGGAGACATGGCATGTAAAGAAGAAGTTAGCTAAAACTGCTGAAACTATTAGTAAATAGGTAAAATTGACATATTTGGGAAAGATACTAGAATAATGCAGACCTTCTACTGGTAGCAAACCACCAGCAAATGAGTTCAGTAAATATACAAAAATAGAAAGGAGTATAAGACAAGGATGTGTCTTCTCACCAGACTTATTCAACCTATACACTGCGGCAATTCTGAGAGAATTAGAAGTCCTACCAAGACAATAGACCACATGATTGTTAGCAAAAGGAACAGCCCAACATATAAATTATAAATTGGAGATAACAAAATGAAACAAGTACAACAATTTAAATATCTGGGAAAAGGATTAAAAGTGTGACATGTAAATCCAAAGGCACATTGGTATAGTGAAAGATGAATTCCAAAAGCTAAGCAGAGTAAAAAAAGAAAAAACTGTTGAACTGTTATGTAATATTAATCTTCCTATATGGCAGTGAATGCTGGACAATCTCTTCGCAGATGAATAGGAGACTTGAAGTAACAGAAATGTGGTTCTATAAAAGGATACTGAGAATGCCATGGAAGGAACATGTGAACAATGACAAAGTTTTAGAGAAAATTTAAAGAAAAAAGACACTTATACTTAAAAATAGAAAAAGGCAATTGCAATTTCTATGGCACATAATGTGGAAAGAGGGTTTAGGAAATTTGATACTCACAGGACAGATTGGAGGCAGAAGAGACATAAGTAAACAGCACATAACCTACCTAAGGAGCTTGAGTAAATGGATGGTGGAACAAAGCTTATGAGTGATAAGAAAAAAAACAAAATTTATTAAGAGCTACAAAGAACAGGAAATTTTGGAGAGCCATAATCACCAGCAACCTGAATTTTCATGGCACAGAGAAGAGGAAGAATGTTTATCCACAGATCATAGACTGCCATTACTTGTACTTAACCAACTTCCATAATATTAAGTGTAAAGTTAGGTTATCTACCATCAAATGATAATTAATTTTTCATATTTACACAGATATTTGTTCTTGGACACTTATTCTATTTTCATTCCTCTCTTCTTTCCATTTGCATAATTTTTCTCTTTTCTTTCATTTTCTACAGTCTTTCCTTCCTTTATTCCTTTTTTCTTATCCTTCCTTACCTCTTTCCTACCTTCATTATTTTTACCTATTTTCTTTTTCCTTCTGTCCTTGCTTTCTTCTTCTTTTCCTCTTTTATCTTTTGTGCTTCTTACTTCATTTTGTTTCATATTTCTTTTTTTCATTCTTTTCTTTCTCTTCTGCTTCCCTTTCTTTCCTCCTTTTCAATCATCCTTTCTCTCTTTTATCCATTCTTTTCTATTATTCCTTCTCTTTCATTCTTTTCTCTCCTTCTTTTCAACCATCCTTTTCACTGCTTTCATTCTTTTCTTTCTCTCCTCTTTTCAGTCTTCCTTTCTTTCATTCTTTTCTATCATCCTTTCTCTCCTCCTTTCATTCTTTTCAATCATCCTTTCTCTCCTCCTTTCATGCTTTTCAATCATCCTTTCTCTCCTCCTTTCATGCTTTTCAATCATCCTTTCTCTCCTCCTTTCATGCTTTTCAATCATCCTTTCTCTCCTCCTTTCATGCTTTTCAATCATCCTTTCTCCTCCTTTCATGCTTTTCAATCATCCTTTCTCTCCTCCTTTCATGCTTTTCAATCATCCTTTTTCTCCTCCTTTCATGCTTTTCAATCATCCTTTTCTCCTCCTTTCATGCTTTTCAATCATCCTTTCTCTCCTCCTTTCATGCTTTTCAATCATCCTTTCTCTCCTCCTTTCATGCTTTTCAATCATCCTTTCTCTCCTCCTTTCATTCTTTTCAATCATCCTTTCTCTCCTCCTTTCATTCTTTTCAATCATCCTTTTCTCCTCCTTTCATGCTTTTCAATCATCCTTTCTCTCCTCCTTTCATGCTTTTCAATCATCCTTTCTCTCCTCCTTTCATGCTTTTCAATCATCCTTTCTCTCCTCCTTTCATGCTTTTCAATCATCCTTTCTCTCCTCCTTTCATGCTTTTCAATCATCCTTTCTCTCCTCCTTTCATGCTTTTCAATCATCCTTTCTCTCCTCCTTTCATGCTTTTCAATCATCCTTTCTCTCCTCCTTTCATGCTTTTCAATCATCCTTTCTCTCCTCCTTTCATTCTTTTCAATCATCCTTTCTCTCCTCCTTTCATTCTTTTCAATCATCCTTTCTCTCCTCCTTTCATGCTTTTCAATCATCCTTTTCTCCTCCTTTCATGCTTTTCAATCATCCTTTTCTCCTCCCTTTCATTCTTTTCAATCATCCTTTCTCTCCTCCTTTCATTCTTTTCAATCATCCTTTCTCTCCTCCTTTCATGCTTTTCAATCATCCTTTCTCTCCTCCTTTCATGCTTTTCAATCATCCTTTCTCTCCTCCTTTCATTCTTTTCAATCCTTTTTTCAATCTTCCTTTCTATCTTCCTTTTCAATTTTCCTTTCTCTCCTCCTATATTTTCTTACTTTCAATTCTCTTTCCTTTTTCCTTATATTTCCTTTCCTTCTTCATCTCTTATTTCTTTCCACTACATTCATTTCACTCCACTTGTTACTTATCCTATCTTTCACTCTTCCTCCCCACATACCCTACCTCCAATTCTTTCTTCTGCATCATCTTTTCTTTCAATCATTCCTCCATCCACATTTCTTTCCATCCCCCTCCCCACTATTCTCTTTATTTTGCTCACCTATCATCTTACTCTTCCTTTCTTTTTCATAAGGTTTCCCTCTTAGCACCATTCTGAAATTCTCTATACTGGTCAGATTTCATATGTTCAAAACTTACCTAACTGAATCCTTATCCAGACTTTTCATTTTCTTGTCTTGATTCCCAACTCTAAAGATAATGTGTTATTCAATGATCATGGCAAGTAACTGTCAGTGTCTTTTCCACTCCGCTTCATGAATATGTTGAACGAACATGTGAAAGACAACACTTCATGAATTTATTCAGTTGTACAGCTCTTTATGACAAATGTCAAGTGAGATGATCTGAGTTATGCTAATTGAATTTTATGTACAATCGTCTTGATTCCTTATATTCCATAGATAACATTAAGATCTATTTTTTTTAATCAGTATCTTTCCCTACACGATAAGGATATTTAATGTTAATATTATAATTTATATATTAATATTATAACATTTAACATTTCTTGGTTCTTGCTTTGATACAGATTTCCTATAAGTACATTCTTTCAAGTTACCTTCAACATTTACATGACAGTGTATCGAAAGTATTTTCATATTTTATAGATTTTACTCCAAAGTTTGCTTCATGAACACACCTAAATTCTATATATGATGTCATTATGTTATTAATCCTAATATTCGATATTAGGGTGGCTTAAGAGTATATTCATATTTTATAGACTTTCACTTTCATTGAAGAATGTGTGATGTGGTACAATATCTAATGCCTTGGAATGATTGTTTGATTCATTTTCTACAGTTTTGCAGGTTATTTAAAGCCAGAAAATATTTTTAGATTGTAAGGATTTTTTTGAGATAATAATGATTTATTCATACATGTCTTACTAATTAATTCATAGCTGGTGAGAGAAGAGGAGGATTTATAACTTTCCCAAGGATATTTATGTATAAGTTTTGTGATGTCAACGAAAAACTCATTGCCACTTTTGTAATGTTCGTTATAGTAGAGACTTTGTAATTGCAGATACAACTATAGTAATGCCGTTGCACAATACTGGTGACAGATGCCTTTGAATAACACTCAGACTAATAGTACTTGCTCGATAATACTCACATGAAAAGTAACCACCGAATAGTAATCCATATAGTGATCACTTAGACGTCACGCTAATTACCATATATACATTTCCTTTATTATCACGTGATCTACTTATTCAAAATGGGATCCCCTGTGTTTGCTTTCTGGTGATCTGTGTTCAAACTCCAGTGTCGGTAGCGACACTTTATTCCTATATAACAATAAGTGAATATAATGAACCCAACCAGAATTGGAACTCAGCTCTCCAATTAAAAATTCCAAGGCATTATCCATTACACAGCTCACATATCCAAGCTTACAGCACCTGATATTCCCAAGCAGTCACCTATCTAGATACTGATTAGACTTGATATTGCTTAACTTCGGTGATCATATGGGAGCCAGTGTTTCAACATGATGTGGCTGTAAGTTGGCTCAGAATGAGAAATTGGAGAGCTGAGTTTGAATTCCAGTTGGGTTCATTAGATTCACTTAAATGCATATACTCTTGGGAAAAGTATAAATCCACCTCTTCTCCCCCCAGCTATAGTTGAATAGTAGGACAGACTTCTGAGGTTCTATAATCTTGTGTGGCAACCAGCCTACTGCAGGAAAATCTTCTGCCTAGTCAGTCATGAATCGAATTAGACATGATCACCCAAGTGTGTATCATGTATGGCAGTTAACTGACTGACATTCATGCATAAATTTAAAAACTATGACTATGGCATTAAAACCAAAACATTAACCTAAAAAACTTAATTTAAATGCATTGTCAATCACCATCTTCTGTCTTCTTGAATTCTGTTCTTTTATTGTCCTTTCTCCTAAAGTCTTCCCATTTTCTTTCCCTCTCGGTAACCACTTCCATCTTACTGGCATAATTGCTTCCCCTGGGGTGAAATGATTTAGAACAGAAAGAAATAACCTTGTCAGATCAAGACTTTCATATGGATGCCATGCATGAGACTAGATCCTTTCAGAAATATCTGAATTATCAGTTGTACACAAACACTTTCTCAAATCAATGATTAAAAATGAATTCCAGCAAATGAAGCCTGTAGGTCTTAGAGGTGACCATCCTTCTTCAAACATCACAAACTGGTAATACAGAATCACAAACAAAGAACTGTACCAGAAATCACATCAGTTCAGGACTACCAACAGCAGCAACAACTAAAATGGATAGAACTCAAAGTTGTTGATATTCCATATTATTTCAAACAAAACATTAGGAAGTAAGCCCCTAATAATACTAGAAGGATTGATAACAATGGACTTGTGAAGCCTATTAAAATTTTTTTTTTTAATTTTCCAGTCTTTCCGATCAAATAACGAAATGAAAGTTATCCTGAATGGCCACTCCTTTCATACTATTGCAGGTGTCCCCCAGGACTCCATCCTTGATTTTACTGTTTTTAATTTTCATTAATGACCTTCCTGATGGCATCAGCACTCAACTTGGTTTCTATGCAGATGACTTAACCATTTACTCCTGTCTTGATAGTAAGTCTGATCAGTTTGATAAGGTCAAAATGTCAGCTAATGCCCAAAGCAAAATTCAGTCTGTTGTTAACTTGAGCAGAAGAAGTGTGTTAATTTTAACACTTCCAAAACTAAACTGCTCTCTGTTAATCATCTGAAATCCCCCTCTCTGCTTTCCCTAAGCATGGCTGATGCTAACCTCCAGGAAAGTGACTCATTGTGTCTGTCAGCTAAGAATGTTAGCCAATAAAAGTGGATAGACAATATTGGATCCATTGCTAGGTCAGCTCCTAAGAAAGTTGGTTCTCTGTGTCAAGCTAGACAGTTTTTTATATGCAGAATCTGTCTTACATATCTATAAGTCTGCCATTTGTCCATGCTTAGAATATTCCTGCCACATATGGTCTGGTGAAACTACTATTTAGCTAAGAGATCCTTGATAAAATCCAACGGAGAATTGGCAATATTATTGGTCCTGATATGGTGGCTTGGCTCCAGTCAATTTCCCACCACTGTAAGGTTGCCTCCAATTGCCTTTTTGATGAATACTTTCACGGTAATTGTTCAGATAAACTCTTCACTATGGTACCTGGAATTTTTTTTTTTTAATTTAAGTACAGTACTAGACTGGCGTCAAGATCTCATCAATTTACAGTTGAGTTGGCTAGATGTAACTATAAATTCTATACTAACAGTTTTTTTTTCTTCTTGCTTGTGGAACTCTATTCTGGCTCCATGCTTTCTAGTCAACTTTAATCTTCAAAAATTTAAATGCAATGTCAATCGCTATCTATTGTCTTCCTGATTACTCTTTTTGTTCTCATTCATTAGTAATGTTTCTGTTTCTAATTCTTTCACACCCAGTAACTCCCTTGTGTCTTAGTGGGTTTTATTGTCTTGTATGGGGTAAACTTGATTAAAAAAATACAAAGATTTTATAAATTTCAACTGACAGTAGCAATGAGTTTTTTTAATAAATAAACATAATATTCCCATTAGAGATTAGGAGAACAGATATGAGACTTGTTTTGTTATTTACTTGCCCCCTCCAGGGGAGTGGGATGTGGGATATGGCACAAGGCCAGTTTAAAGTGGGGAGCCTAGGAATGTGCACATGGGTTAAGGTAAAAAACTGACCAATCCCAGCAATCACTGTTGCACTGGCATTGACATTCCACTGAGCTTCCATCTTTGGTGTAATGAGGGAGGTGCTGTCACAGAGTTAGAATCCCCTGACACCAGGCATCTCTCATTTGCTGTGTTCAGTCTGAAGGCATAAACACAATTGAGAGATAAGATCTAATTTGTCAGTCTGAAGGCAGATACTACACTTTGATCCTAGCCTGATAGCTAAGGACTTACTTGATTTGTTTAAGGGCATATCAACAGCTTATGGGTCATTTAATGCTGAAATTTAATTTTCTTGGGAGCTTTGAAGTAATAAAAATATGTTATATATCATTCTGCTTTCACAATTGAATACATGGTAGATGATACTCAGCTTTTGTGCATATATATGTTTGTGTAGGCTTAATTACTAGAGGTGGTGATATGTTTGCTTTCTGTTGTAGATTTGTTGAAGTTATATTTTGAAATAGTTTCATTTCTTTAAGAAATTGTAGAATATTATATGGATTAATATCATTAAAGAGTTCTTTCATGTTGATTGATGTATTGTTGGTAAATAGGTATTGTTGGTAATTTCTTTTTTTTTTTTTTACATAAAAATGTATTGCTGGTATTTTTTACTATAAAAATGTATTTTCAGTGTTTTGTTTTTGTTTAGGGATTCACTATTTAACAATAACTGGGACCCTAACAGATGCTACCAGCCTAGGTCAAGGTAAACCTGGGAACAGCAGCAATTAAGAAGTGGTTCCATGCTCGTCAAAACCTTCAATATCTGATCAGGTGCTAAAGAGTGAAGAAAATCTTGAATAACATAGGTTGCTTCATCTATGAATATCAAATGTTTCCTTATGAGGAAACAGCTAATATTACCATTTATATTCAGCCGTAAATTTTGTTATGATATTTTCATGGCAGATACAAGTGTTGAGATTCAGGCAATATTAAAACGTTATTTTAAACAACATGAAAGCCACTAAAGCTGCTCAGAGACACCAAGAAGTGGAAGTAAATGAAACAATATCTGACTGTATGACCCAAACTGGTTTAAGAGTGAAAGTGCAGTGGTGACTTATCATTTGAAATAATTTCCAGAAGTGAACGACCAATAGTTTAAAACACAAGGTAGAAAAGAACCCAACTAACATGTGTCTAAAATATTTGAGAAAAGCTAGGGTCATTGAAAGATATATTTATAGTATTATTATTATTATTATGTACCATGTCCCTTCAGAACATAGGTGTTCATGGTCCTCCATGCTTTCTTATTCTTTGTAGGTCTTAGCAATGTTTGTCAGAAATTTCAATTACCATTTCAGATTTGATGCAAAAATTTTCTTTTGGTTCTTGTTTTCTTTAAAACTTCCATATTGCTCACATGATCCATCCATTATATTCTCAGTAATATTAAATAAGCTTAAAAACACATATAGGAGCTTTTAAGTTGATTAAACAAACAAAAGGAGTGATGAAACCGAATAATAATAATTTACATATGTAAATAATAAATACGGCTGGTTATATATTACCCTATGTAAATGTCAGATGATAAAAGAAAGGCAAATTAAGTAAATGTCACGTTTATTTGCCATTGATATTTTATTTCATCTGTGGTACACGATTGTTTTTGCAGTATCCATCAAGTTTGTATTTTGTTTTCATTGAAAGAAATAATTTTTTCATGAATAATGTTTCCAGAAAGTGAAAATTATTTGTAATGTTTCCATTTCTAATTTGCATAGTACCTGTGCAAAATGACGCAATTATTTACATATTGATTGGCATAGGATTACTGTTGCATGGATAAGTGTCGCATTCGTGCACTCCGCCGAGGATAAGTGTCGCATTCGTGCACTCCGCCGAGGATAAGTGTCGCATTCGTGCACTCCGCCGAGGATAAGTGTCGCATTCGTGCACTCCGCTGAGGATCAGTTACGCATCTTTGCACTTTGGAAGGGTCTCCTAGCTTTGAGTGCCTATTAAGACTCAAGGTCACCTCAAAACTCAAGTGGAACTTATACATAATCCATTGTTAAAAATATTGGATAAATGGATTGGCCTCCTTTACTGTTCTAGTAAATACCTGCCTCCTCCTGCTATGCTCTACCATTAGGAGAGCCAGATCAGACCTAAAATAAATGAAGTACTGCTGACATATCCCTACTGGAGCTATCCACCCCTCTCTTTTCTCCCTGGACAGATTTTCCATCCTACAACTCCTTTCCCCATGAGCATAACATTGCAAGCCTATTGCTACTGTGTCACTATTTCCATGAAAAATGTACTGATGTGTTACATTCCTTAGTTATACCAGTTCAGATACTTCACAGCTAAGACTCATCATACCATATACACAGGGTTATATTGCAATGGTACCAGTTCCATTTGGACAGCTTCTTAAGAGCCACTGTTTTATGGAACAGACTCCCAAGAGGATGCTTCCCTGATCACTATAATCTTAACTTCTAGTATCATATCAACAATTATCAATCTTACACAACATCATAATCTGCAATTCTTACAACCATAAAAAACCCATTCAGTTAGCCTCTTCCTTGAGGAGCTCTTTGGCCTTGTATTGGGTAGAGAATAGCATAAAAAGAACAATAAAGCCATCTGAACATTACCTATGATAGCACTTTGTTGTTGTTATTCTATATTAGGATTTATCAAAAGTATTTTCATTTTTTTTTATAGACTTAAAAAATGAAAAACATTTAAAAACATGACTCCAATATTATTTCATCATGGCTGGCCACTTGTTTCTGAGTATGCCCATCTATTAAGACTGCTACCAATCCCTGCTCAGCTACA